ATTCATTTTATTATTTGTTTCATTTCTTTCAGTTGGACAAAGGTTCTTAACTACCTCCTTGAGATGGACAAACCAGGAGCTTCTCCTAAATCTACTGATGGTGGAGCTAAGGTAAATACAAGAACTTGTACAAGGAGCTTGGACTATTCATAAGTGGATTTTCCTAATTTTAAGCAAAATACTAGCACACAAAATTTTTAAATTTAATTGTATTTATTGTGATTCAATGTCAACAGTTGAAGGACAAACAAAGGCAGACAATTAAAGACAAATTCAAGGTAAAGATAATAAAAAAATATTTAATATTATTTATTAATGTTTAATTATATATCATTTAATGATTGGATTGACTTGATCATACTAASAATATTAATCTAAGCTCTGAAAATGTTTCTTTAATTTGTTCGTTTTCAGGGTTTTAATACAGAGTTTGATGAAATATATCAGTTACAGAAAACRTTTGCTGTCCCTGATGAACAATTGAGAGAAGAAATTCGCAAAAAGAATATTGACCTGATTGTGCCACTTTATACAACTTTCAGAGAAAAGTAAGTTGAAATTTCTCGTTCTTCCAAAACCACTTCTTGATATCATCATACAACTTTGCAGCACACAATCATACCACAGTAAATGGTATAATCCTTGATAGATTTTATTCTCATAGACTGAGACATTTCTTTTCTGTGAACTCTGCTTCAGTCACTATCGAGTTGTGGACGTTTTTCTGTAGTTACAGCCTACAATCTTGGACATAAATGTTGACAATTTATCGCGCGCACGACTTTGCTCACACTACTCATGGATAAAAGCATCCCCGCGTCCCCCCTCCCCCCAATACAATGTTGTGTGGCTGTTTTTTCATACTCTGACCATTCATGAACCCGTACCTACAACATTGCCATGGGAGGGAGGGGAGGGTGAGGAAAAATAAGCATGACTTACAAGAGATACCGCATTTSTGGTACCAAAGTGAAAAATTGTCAACTATTTATGTCCACGATTGTAGTATCAACCTGTCTTCATGTAGGCCCAGCCCCCCTTCTTTCAGYGAGATTATACTTAGTCTTTCAAAACCCACATAGARCAAAAACAAAAACACTATTGTTTTGAAAGCTTTAAATGAGATCCATCGTAATTGATAAAAATTCTAACCGAATATTTTCTGTACTTCATCGTGTAGGTATGAAGGTGTCCAGTTTACCAAGAACCCAGAGAAGTATGTCAAGTATTCTCCTGAAGAAGTGGAGAACTTAATGAAGAAGTTTTTTGATGTGTCTGCTTAAAATTGTATATCAAATAATTATTGCCACATATACATTCAATTAAGCCTTCTTCACACTTAACATGTGAAAACATAAGATAATAGAATAATTTTYTAAACAATAATTATATATTCAAAATGGTTACAGTTATCTTAATTTACTAGGATAATCATAAATAAAAATATATAAACTAGTTGGAAAAAAATAAATAAATAAACTAGTTGCAGTGTTTCTTCTACACTTGCCACAATTTAAACTCTTTTTGGAGAMTTGTGGTTCTGGACTAATGGCCTCATTTTAAGACCATTGGGCCATTTTAAGGCCATTGTGTGGAACTAAAAGCTCTCCCCAATGGGAAGAGTGAGTATAAGGGCTATAATATCCAGGACTAATCTCACAAAATTCTTTTGTGCTAATCAAGTTGATGCTATTTTTTTTCTTCCTATGCTAGAAGGGGTTGATACATCTTAAAAACTAAAGAGTACTTACTAACTAATAAGCACTATTAGTTCCTAATAGTCATTAGCACTGAACCAGAACAGTTTATTTGATCCAATAAGCAATACCTAAGAGACCACTACATAGCTGTCAACCCTCCCGGGATTCTCCAGAATTTGAACCTCGTCTCCCAGTCTCCCAGATAAAGGTTGAAATCTCCCGGATAATCRTCAAACTTGTAACAATATGGTAATGTATTAATGTAAGACGTACCCAAGATATGACCGCTTATAATAAAAAAAGCTATTTTTTTGAATAATGAGCTTATACCTATAAGTACGTATAATTTTTTTTGTCAGATCGAAATGTAGCTTTGCTTCTTGTACATACAGCCCCCCCCCCCTTTGTACTTAGGGGTAGTCCATCACAGGAAGCCCAAATCATGATTTCACAAACCTCCAGAATTGAAAAGTTTGGGGGTTGACAGCTATGCCACTATAAAAGTGAAAGTAATCTCTTTGTACTGTTCTGGTTCATTGAGTGTCTAAATAGTGCCTATTAGTTACTAAGTATTTAGTTTATATATTTCATGGTTCAAGTGACTCTGCTCTAACAGGTCTGGTTTCTATTCTTAGTGTTATGGTAATTCTTCAAATCCATGCAGATCATTGCACTCATATACCATAGAGTCACCTTTGATTTATTTACAGAGGAGAAWATTACTTTGAATGAAAACATAAAACAATTGCCCTACTTTATTATGATGTCACATTATGTTTACATTTATAAATAGAGACACTATTTGCTGAGGACAAAATAATATTCCCTTTCATCTTTTAGCACAGTCAAATAGATATAAATATAAATGAAAAAATCACATCCATGAAATATTTATCAATATTACTCGAAATCGAACAGGTGAATTTKTTTTTAACTTTTCCAAAACGTTATGCAATAGTTTGAAGTTAATGATGATATGTTTACCGCTTTTCTGGATCTCATCAATTTTTTGAGATATTTGGGAAAAACGAATTTCGACAAAATGCAAATTCCGTTGCCTAGGTAACGTTGATAGAGCTAAATATTATGCCAAACAAAACTTTGGTCAATGCTTTAATACTGGTCCAAACACGATACAAATCGGTTCATAGCAAGATTTCAAAGAGAGAATTTAAAATGAGAGGTATGGTCGAAAAACAACTGTAGGAAGCCACCTTAATACATTACATGTAATTCATTGATTTAATAAGTTGGTACAGGAAGCAATTCTGTGACATCCTTGTACATGTATTACAAGAATTATTTCCATAAATTTTGTTGTGAAAACATAAATTTCCCAAAACACAACAGGAAAACAACTATATTTCTTTTGCTACAATTATAATAATATGGTTATTACAAAAAAAATATGGCACAAACATTGAATTGTTACAAGTTTCTCTAGCAGGTAGGTCAAGGTTAGACAGATACTGGTATTTTCAAATTCAATGACGTATGAAATGCAAACAAAAAACAATACAAGACTATAAAAACAATTACAATRGGAAAGGTAGATGACCTTTGTTTTAGAAACGGTAACATTGCATATTTAATAATGATAAAGACTCTAGTTCTATATATAATATACAACTGCGTTGCCTTTTTCTCTTTCTTTGAAAATATTAAAATGTACTTTATAGAAAAATCTCATTGTTTTCTTCAAACATGCCACTGAAGTTGCTTTTGCCTTCTGTTTCTCTGCTAGTAAGAAGCCTATTAATAAGATAATACTTGTTAAACTGATGTATGAATCTTATTATTGATTATGTCAATAATATTATTCACAGATTTCTACTCAAAATTAAATTGGATAAATTTGACAATTTCTGCCGTTTTCATAAAAAGGCAAATTGCTTTTGTCACAACCGGCACTGAAACAGTTTTTAACATTATTATTATTATATAATACTTCCAAACATACCTTACATGTTCTGAAGAATTGTTTTGTGCCTTTTCCATTGGATGAAACAAATCTGATAGGATTTTCTCTTCCTGAAAAGAAAGATCACAAATTATTGTTTTCTGATTTTATAGAAATCCAAATTAATATCAGTGTTAATGTCATGCCAATACTAATTAATAAATATATATTATATATATATATTCTGGGCATGTACAGCCTTTTGCAAAAATTATGAGAATTGTTGAAATATCTAAATATCATAATATCAAGTGCATGATGGATAATCCCGCGCGATGCCCTTAGTCCCTTGTCTTTGTAGTTTAGGTTTTTTTTGGCGACAGACTTATCCGTAGTTCTGAACATTTTCTCGATGTCAACAATGAATTCTTTAGCAAACCCGCATGTTCCGGACAATATATGGATATGGATATTATGATATTTAGATAATTCTCATAATTTTTGCAAAAGGCTGTATCTCTTTTTTTCAATGAAAAAAAGTAACAGAAAACAATGCTATGACAAATCAACAAACCTTTGGGTTTTGGCATTCTTGTTCATCTTTGCTGGTTTCTTCTACATTTAGGGTGTGTGCCATGACATTGGTTACTGTTTCTTCTACAAGAATTAGAAATAAGCTTAAGTAAACAAACTTTATAACTTTAAATAAGTTAATTGTTGCTGTATAAACATTAGAAGTTGCACTGGTAAGTTTGACTGTAAAGTGAATGTCGCTTTCAGTTTCTACCAAGTGACCTCATCAGCTCATGCTCATTGTTTAATTTAAGTTTACAAAGTAATGTCCAAACTTTTATCTAAAGTTCAGTAAGTTCTAGAAACACGAAAAAACGCAGAATCTGAAAACAACATTGAGACTAAATATCACGATCGCCAAAAAAAATGGCGTTCAAAAGCGTTTTTTATTGTTTATGGTGATTGAGAAAACTTTTGTGAAAAATTATCTTGAAAAAAGAAAAGCTAGAGACTCCCTCATCCCTCATGCAAAAGATGTAAGCTAGCTAAGCTATAGCAACTCGACTGTAAAAAGAACTTAAAAAAAAACTTAAAAAGACTTATAAAAGAATTCTTACCAGTAAAACTGTTTTGTGTGGAGTATTTCTGATCTTGCTCGTCAGTATTTTCTAAAGTGCCATCTGATTCGTAATACCAACCTCCAGAATCACTTTGCGCTTCGCTGTCGCCAAGCGTGAGCTCACTTCCCGCCAAATCCACTGGACTGACGTCCTTGACAAGCGAGAGATGAGTCGATTGACTGTCCTCATGYAGCTTTGCCTGGCGGACTAAATAAAAGATCAAAATGTTAAAAGGTGCAAGAGTCCAGGTATTATTATTGTAGTATTTGTAGGAACAGAAACTTTTGAGTTTCTGGTCAGTGTAAGCCGCAAGCTACTTRGCAAGTTTTCAARCTGGACAAACTCGCACTGCGCCATGTTCAGAAAGTACAAGTCACTCAAGCAAAATCCAACATAATAACTTCTTACTAGACTTATTTGGACTGCTCACTGGACTGCAAATTACTTTGGTTTTCCTCGTTGAAGATGAATCTGTTTTGAAATCCTTATCTYCCCTGCACATTTTCTTCCATGATTGCTTCAGCTTGGCGTTGATTTGYTGAGGTGTAAGGAAGGAATATTTTGCGACGAATTTGCTTTCGTTTTCTCGCACAAAGTCTTTGAAAAGAATTCCTTTCTTGCGAGATGGCATTTTAAGGTTCTTTATAAGAGCTACAAGCGAAATCCACAGACAAATTCTTTACACCTCGGAGTCTCGATTTTCAGCGCGCGAAATTTCTCACCTTCTGATTGGCTGTGATCTCGCTTACTCATTCGATCGAATTCGATCTTGGAACGTGRAAAAGGTAAAATAAAAAAAACTCTAGTTGTTCATTTACAAAACAAACTTCTATCTCTTGTATTTGATTTTTTTTTCTAGTTTTTGGTTTTACAAACTGTAATATTTTACTTTAATATTCATTTATTTTGAAATTCACATTTTGACAGCTGAGAATAGCCTACGCACATTGTCAGACTTTAGACTAGTCCTCGTTGACTGGTTCAGGCACGAATTTCAAAATATTTTTTTCTCGGAAGTTTCTGAGGACTTGAGCTAACAAGGAAATGCATATTCTGAGAAAAAGTCCGTTTGTTTGACTGTCAACGTGTCCAAGCACGGATGGAATTTCCGCAATGACTCTGGGGGCGGATTTGTTATTCTTTTTCSTCGCAGACCAAAACAAAAGACGAGTCAGCCATTTTCAACTTTCCCTCGTGGCAAAAAGGACCGGTCGCTAAGGCAACGTCACTATTTTGACAGCAGCTGGTCACTTTTGGCCAATGAGATACTTTGTTTTTGGCATGACGTCAATATACCACGTGATACCAGCAAAACAAGTAAAGAACACTTCGGTTTCGATGCGAGGAAAATAACATCGTGTGTTGCAGAAAAATTGACTGAAATTCGCCGGCTTTCATCAACATGGACACGCTTCGAGAAGAAGTAATGGTCAACCAGTTCGTAATGGCGGCTGGGTGTGCGACAGAACAAGCAAGACAGCTTTTACAGTCAAAGCATTGGGATTTTCAGGTACAACTCGTTTGTGTTTCTGTTTCGCACTGACGATCTTTGTCATTCGTGCGTTGTACTCGGGTTTATTCTTCAAATCTAACCACGATCGCTTTGTTTTAGACTGCATTAAGTACGTTTTTCCAAGAAGCAGTAATTCCCTCACATCAAAATCACCCAGTAAGTAATTTTTATGCTTTATGTTTGAAAATTCTCCATGCACACCGGTCAACATGGTCGGCGAAGGGCCATAGTGTTATTGTTGACAATATTGAACGAGTACTAAACTCTCTCCTTGATTTTCAGCTCGTCACTCCAGCCAAYACTCCAGCTACTCCACCGAATTTTCCCGAAGCTTTGATCGCGTTTTCGAAGCTTCGAACATCGGAAACKGCCCAGAAAACGCCAACTCAAAACGCAAACGAACCTGTGCGGTGATAGCGTTACGCAACGAAGTTTACCTACTACTATAGGACAACTTGTCGTATTCTACCAAGGATAATGTATAGGCTATGGAGTACATATCTTATAAACTCTTCTAAAAAGACATTTTTGTAATTTTCCACTCCGATAAGGAAGGATTTGTAACGAATGGAGAGCGTTACGTTAGCCAAGGATGTGTTGAAATCGCCGACCGTACCGAAGAGCACCGGCCAAAGGAAAACAAAACACAAAGATTAATATCTCTTATTTAAAGTTGACATATAGAGAAGTTAAAGCAAAAGGACAGAGTTTTGAGACTGCTTGTCTCTCTAATGCAAGAGAGAATAGATGACGTTTGACAACAGCAAGTATTAGCGAAGTCTTCGAAGGAAACACGAGTTTGTTGTGATAAAACTACCAGGCATGTTTTGAAAGGGGCATTATTAATTCATAGTTGTTCATACTCGCTACAGTTGATCCCTTCTGTGGCGATTGTTGTGTTAAAAGATCGCGGAAATGAAGCGTATAGTATAAAATTGCAAAAATATCATCCAGAACTATCAAACAATTGTTGTAATATGGCTTATAATTTGCGAAAACGCGTATCCATTTATTGACAACCCGAATTTCATTCAAGTCTGTATTCGAAATCAACTGAATTTATCCGGCATTATTAAACAAACTCGACAATAATCCCACATCAGCGTAGACAGAAAAGAGACTGCTTTGTTAAACCATTGGTGTTCTAACATTGATAATTAAATACTGTTGTAAATAAATACATTTTCAAATATAGATTTGTTGTTGTTATCATTTTGAGGGCTGTGTGTACGTGAGAGTATTTTTTTTTGAAGTTCATTCATTTGATGATCAACAGTGCGAAACCACGTGGAATTCGTTTTCCAAGGTCATMGAGTGGGGCTGCTTTACTTTCACCCTATAACCCTTTTTGGCATATTAGTTTTGTGGTCTTCAAGCTTAATCAAATCACTGCTTTTCTGGACAATTCTTATTTATGTTYATTTGATAAAACTATGAAACTAATAACTCAGGAAATTTCGTCCATGCGGGAAGTACTCGAGCGTGCGGTTTTAGATGATCGAAATAGACTCGTCATTTTGCTGKCAAATTGTGACTATCCAATCATACTTCGAGCCTCGTGTCTCAATAGTAAACGTTTCCGGTTAATTTTGAGACGCTTAAATTTGCTTATTGAACAATGTTCATATTTTTACGGCGATATCAACGTGCCGAAGTCGTAATTGTTTACAAATCGCACAGATCATGACACTCAAACAATGTGTACAAAATTGTACAACTTTCAACGTTTCGTGTGAGGAAAGAGAAATTGTTTATATTACAAAAATACATTCGARGCGATTGACAGCTATTTCTTCGGCTCTTTTCAAGCGTTATTTACTTGAACTTTAGTCGAAAGCTGTAGCGAAGTTTGATTGACAATCCACTCCATTACTCATGTTCTAAAAGTAGAATTATGGCGTGATGAATGACGTGCAGAGTATGAAAAATCTTTAATTAATACGCTCATATATTTGTCTAATACGAAAACGCATGTCAGAAATTCAATAAAATACTTTCGCACCATGCTAGGCTTATTGTCGYGACCTCTGAAACATTTGTATACAAAYAATGACTCAGCTTTCATGTGGAGAAAGCCTGGGACGAGATATTGAACTCTGGACCCTAGCCAGCTATGATGAAATAAAAGAACTAGTCAGACTACATTCCTTTGTGAAATAATCGTCATAGTTTATCGTGCATTCTGATTGGACAAAAGATACGTAAGCCATGAACGATAAAAAATCTTTTAAAAATAATATTTTCTTATGACGTAATAATTATTTGATAGAATTTTAATATTGTAGTTTTTGCAGTTTTATTGTGGCCATTGATCAATTGATAACAAATGGACATTCGCCTTATGGGACCATCCTGAGCCAATATTAAATAAAGGTTTAACGAAAGATGAATAAAATAAACAAAACAACAAAACAAGAAATTGATAAAAGGTTTTAAAGGCGTTTGAACGAATTTAATGGTAACGCACAGCTCCATTTGCATAAGGATTAGAGTCGTTTTGATTTGAACTATTTAAAAACTCTTAGCATACTMCGATGTTATGGTATCCACCAAACTACAGGAAAACATTTGAAAAGAGACTGTAAAGATCAATTTTTTCACAGTTTGCCAGAAGGAAAATTCCCCTCTATTAACTATGATTTTTTCGAGTGTTTTTTTTTCGAGTATTATACTAATAGAATAGAAATGCGATGCTACCATGATATGATATATCAGTAGATCATGGTTCAGTTAGCCAATAAGAAGGCTTGGTTTGTGTGAGCCCATAGTTTAGTTGGATAGGTTAGGGACGTCGGAGGGTTTTTTTAGCGGGCGTCMCTGTAGGTCATGGACACGCAGAGGCTGGTAGACCATGACTTACATGAAACAGCTTGCTGATGATGCGGCATTGCAGAAATAAAGTCTTTTTCAGAAGATAGAAAAATTTCTTGGAGAAAGAGAGAGAGTCGGAATTGCCCGATGGGATGATGATAATTTGACCGTGCAATGTAAATGTCTACTAGATTTTTTTGTAAAAGAACAAAATAAAACTAGATTCAGCTACACTATTACTCTAAGTAATCTTTTGAGAACATCAGGTCAAATAAWAACCACTCAATAATAACATTGATTGGACAAGTGAACGATTGCAGCTTCTGGTTCGAMCTGAATCGACACCGACCAATTTGTAACTRTTGTTTAAAAATTACGATAATTTCGGTTTCATTGAAAATGTATTTCTTGTAAAGACAAATTTCGGAGTTTTGTGACCTTTAGTCTAAATGTTCTCACGTACGTGTACAGGCTGTCTACAAGACTCCTCCCCAGGCGTCTCTTCCTTTTCGCTCTTCTTTCTACTTTGGGCTTCCTGTCTTCCCCAATAAAACTCAGGGCAAAATGAAGACCAGTGAAGTGTTGTCTGTGGAGGAGGCTACCCATATACACTGGTGAATGACTTCATTGGATGATATGGTTGACAAGCTGCATGCCAAAAAAATGAATTGAAGACGAGGCTAAGGGGAAACAATAGACAATTCTTTTTTTCCCCAGAGCCTCGTTTTCAATTCTTTTGTTCATGACCATTAAATCACAATGGGCTAATAATAAACTTTCAATAGTAGCATTATCGAGCATTATCAGCATTATATATGATCTTCTAGTTCATACAGTATGCTTAAACCGCTCTGATCGAATGTATCGTGTGTGACATCATCAACATTTAATATACTGCGTTGGGAATTTTATCCTAGGTTACTCGCTTCGTTCGCAGCAATAAGAAATGGAACGCCAAACTACATTGTCTATCTTAAAATCAATTTGAATAAGAAACCAAAAAAAAAGAAGAAAGAAATTAAAACTTTCAACATAATTTTGAAACTGCAAGGACGGAAGAACAAAAGCCGCCGGAAGCGGCGTAAGCCTGAACTATTGTTTCACAATTTCTAGGTGCTTATTTTATTCAGCTTAGCGGTTTCGATAATTAATTCGCTTTATAGACGACAATTGTATGAGGGGTTGAGAAATAAAACAAAAAATCAAAAAAGTTAATTACTACCCCCTCCCCCCTCGCAAACGAAATAAATTACGCTTCCCCCCGGTGAATTTATTTATTCATTATTCGTCAATAAAGAGAGAGAGAGAGCCGGATTATTAAGAAACTTAAGAAGTCACAAATCGTAGTTGAACATTGCTAGAGCTCATAAAATCGGTAGTGTGAAAAACCTATAAGATAATAGCCTATAGTTGTTTAGAAATAAATTTGAAATCGGTGATTATGCCAAAATGGTCTTTGTTTTATTGGTTTATTAATGCAAACCAAGGTAACATTTGACATAACCGGATAGCTAACCGGAACTTCCTGGAACTTACTAGAAAGGATTTGAAAATGTAAATACGAAAATGTTGTCTCATAACATTTCAGAACTCTTAAAAAGAACAACTATTGCCGGATTTCAAGCCGAGAGAACACTGGGCAAATTATAGTAAGACTTAATTAGACGCTCTTAGAGCGTGAAGTCCGGCTAACTATTTTGGATGGCTGTGATCGTCGAAAATTTAAATAATACCTCATGGACAGTAAAAGATACCAGGCTCTTACGAAAAATGGCGTGGGAAACAATATTTTCACCCCTATGTAGTTTCAATAAAAGTAAAAAAAAAAAGAAAAAAAAAATTAAAAAAATATCCAAAGTAGCACAGGAAGCCAATGTATAAGAACTGTGATCGTGTAGTTCCCAAAATGTGGTGGCAATTGTTCAATAGCGGACAAATTACAGCCCTTTAAATACTCTAGTTAGATAATGGATCTAGTGAATGTGTCCAGAAAATGGACAATGAAATTTGGACGCGTTGCATGAATCAGTATTTTCCTTTGAAGCCACTTCCAAATGAGTTTCCGTAACCGTGACGTTACCTTTTCACTGTCACACAAAATTTACTCTGTTAAAAATAGAAAAACACTAGTAGCACGACAACATKGACGTACTTCAAGTCATTGCTTATATCATTCTAATTCTTCTTGCTTTATATTGGCTGGGTACCTACAAGTTTGCAGTTATCAAGTCCCTCAACGTCCCTGGTTCAAAACCGTGGCCCTTTGTCGGTAACATCCSAGATATTTGGAGATATGGCAGTGTTTTGGAGATGTTTCTCGAGTACCGAAAACGATATGRAAAGGTGTTTTATGTATGCTTTGGMCAAGAAACCTCGATTGTTATCKCMGATCCTGAATTACTGAAGTTGATTGCAGTYAAGGAGTTTGAGAAGTTTCGGAAAACCGCGCCGTCATAAAATTGCCGCCTCCAAATAATGTTGGTGTTGGATTTGCAAACGATGACGATTGGAAACGAATCCGATCCAACATTGACTCCCACATTCAGTRGTTCAAAGTTGAGGCAAATGGTCACAATCGTGCAGGAGTCGTGTGATGTCTTGGTCAGYAAATTTCGAAAAGAGGCTGACACAGGTTAGAAATTGTACAGATTTCCAAATTTCGCATAGACATTTTTTAATAAGGAGGACAGCACTGAATTTTGATTCCGATTTTAATTACCGARCACGAGGAATATGAATGGGATCTGGGAGTTTTAAAAGCTTAACGGCCTGCGTTCCTTTTGTTTTTGAGGTTGTTAACATTGCCAGCCATGTGCACGTTTACATCGCTACAAACTCAAGCATTTTAAATCTCACCAATTAACGCGATGCATGGATGCAAAAATAACAACACAACCCAAGGTACGTTTATTGAACAATTTTAAAACTGAAATGAAATGATGGTAGTCAAGTATGTATGTTTTGTTATAATGTGAACAACATTCATGTTCGGCCTACTATATTTTGCTTAACCTAAAGTGCAGATAGAATTGCTGAATTTACGTTGTTAGCTATTTCAAAAAAACGTTGTCGGGGAGAACGGTCAACGGCGATTATCGAAGGAAGATTGCACGACCGAAAGGGACTATGGTTACACTGTCTTGATAAACAAAGTTTCACTTATTGGATTCACCTTACATAAAAATGGAGATCAAATGGAGCCAATGTTTGCCGCAGACCATCTCACAGTACATATCAGTTGTTATTGCAAAATCCATGGTTACTTTCGGTCGTGCAATTGCCATTCGACCATTGACATTCGCCATTTTATCCGACAACCTTTTTTGAAACAGCTATATATATTATTATTCTTAAATCAACGCGCAATGCTATCGTCTTGATTTATTTTTCTTCATTAGGAATAGTTAGGTTTCAGCTACTGTGTATTTACAACTTGTTAAACTAACTGCAAAGAGGCAGAACAAATAATTTTTTGAGTGAGCATGAGGCACACATGAAGATAAACTATACCATAAACTATACCATTTCACACTAATTATTTTGTCACAAAAGCCCATATACTAAGCTTGTTTATAAAAAGAAATTTGTACAGAATTAGGTTCAATTAATGAGCAGTTCGCAACAAAATACTAATTAAATACTAAAGAATTTTAAAATAGAACAATAAAAAAAGAGAAACACCGGACCTTTTTAACACGCCCCCTCCCCTTTTTTTCCGGGAAAATATTTTTCCTGCAAAGATATGATACAATGTGTACCATTTTATTCTCACGTGCAAGGGCTGGTTAAGTACATTTCTAAGGCAGCTATTAATATCCAGTATTTAAATGACATCGCTTACCAAATAATCAATAAGAGAAAAAAACAAGGTATTGACATTGGAAGGAAAGACTTAATGCACTTGATGTTAACAAGTACAGACAGCAAAGGTAACCGAATACTGACAGACGACGAGATATCCGCCCAATCGGTAAGTCGTCTTGTGAGAGGGCGTACAGCTCCTGGGTCGTGAGGTATTTAACAAAAATTATTGTTAGATTTGATGAAATCACGTTTTTGCGACCCGACAAGGTTCTTCTGAATTAGATGTACAAACTTTTTTTTTATTGTACAAATTTTACAGGTAACATTTCTGATGCTGGCAGGGCTTCACACTACTAGCCTTGCAATAAGGTACGTTATTTACTAACTCGCGCAATTTCCTGATTTACAAGAAAAGTTGTACGAAGAAGTGGAAAGCGCTTTTCAGACAAATCCTGRCAAATCAATCTATGATTTGGTGCAAGAAATGGAGTACCTCGATTCTTTCTATAATGAGGTGCTGCGTTTGGCATTTGATGAGAGTTTGCCATTCACGCGTRAGTGCAGAGAATCGTGTACACTCAATGGCGTCCATTTTCCAGCTGRCACATCAGTGATATTGTCATTCTCTCTTTTGCACATTGATCCTGATTTTTGGAGAGATCCATTAAAATTTGACCCGGAAAGATTTCGTGGAGCAGAAAAAGTTGGACGACATCCTTATGTTTTCCAACCTTTTGGTTCAGGCCCTCGCAACTGCATTGGAATGCGTTTAGCGCAGATGGAAATTAAGATCACAATCGCTCGTCTTGTGAGGGAGTTTAGGTTTGTGTTATCACCAGAGGTTAAATATAAGCCGAATAACTTCACCCCAAAACTCGTTGAGCTGAGAGTTGAAAATCGACTGCGGCAATCGATGACGCAACGTATTAGGGTAAGGCTCAAAGCTCGAGCTAATTTACCGAACTTGATTCTGTGCACACTCGCAAGCTTTCATTAGGTTTTTAGGTAAAATAATTAGTGTCAAATGGGTTAGTTTATGGTATAGTTTATCTTTATGTGTACCTCCCTCCTACTCCTTCAAGATGTCTGGTCCGCCTCTGTGCAGTTAGTTCAACAAGTTGTAAATACAGTCACTGCTGAAACCTAATTTTTCCTAATCAAGAAGAAGAAATTGAGACGATAGCATTGCGTTGATTTAAGTATCTTGATATATATCATTGTTAAAATTTACATATCATTAAATACTAATATCCAAAATAAGTGAATCCAGCAATTCTATCTGCACTTGTGTTAAAAATCAATGTAGGTAGCCAGTACATRAATGTTCACATCATAACAAAAACTATACTACTTACCTTTAATTTCAGTTTTAAAAGTTCTCAATTGACCTACTTGTTTGTTGTTGGTTTTGTGTCCATAGCGCCTATTGCTGAGATTTTTAAGCTGAAATTCCTCAAAGTCTGCTAATTCCAAATACGTAAAGGAGCTCCTATGCGTTTTTTTTTACAGTCAGCCGTGCTTTATGCACGGCTCCTCGTCTTGACTCCTTTCTGTATGAGAACTGAAGCAAAAATTCGCAAGTCGTCCATTGAAGGGTCAATCCCAACCGTCGTGCACCACGGTCTTGGCGGTCACCTTCCTCAGTACGCAAAGTCATTTAGGATCCCTTTCATTCTGTCGCCTATACAGGAAAATATCTTACAATGTTATTTCGATTTAAARTGTACAATGAAATCAATTTGAATGCGTTTTTGTAAAAATAGTGATCTTGACATTTGGATTTTCTGTTTTACAATYTTCAGAGAAGATTGAGGAGAAGAAAACTGCAGCGATAGGAAGAGGTAGGAAGATACTCAAGATTTTCTCCCCTYCCKCTCACATTTATTTTTACCACACTCCATAACACACTCCTTTTTTGAAATAGCATTACCAATTGAATAGACTTTTTCTGAAAATTTTGGTCTGGCTTCAGTCCAAAYAYCACCATATTTGGYTACATGAACAAAAGTTGTTTGTACCGAATCTAGACCACAATGCAATGCAGACTGTTGTCTTAGAAACAGCCTATTGTGGTTAGTAGATTTAGTACAAACATCTCGGTTCTTACAGCCAAATATGCTATTGTTTGTATCAAAGTTAGACCCACAATGCACCTGGATTTTGAATTTCAGRAAAGGTCTGTTCACGCAGGCTAGATCTAGCCTCTTCAGAGAAAATTATGCTAGCGTTGAAGCTGACAATTCTAATCCCGCGGGTGATCCCGAAATGTATCCCKCGGAAGTCACTTTAATATAAAGACAGGTTTTTATATTAGTTTTCAATCTAGGAGGTAAAAGTTAGAATCTATGTAAATGGACGAGATATCATGTAATCTGTTCAAACAAACCGATGGAATTATTGACCTTAACCTTGCTGTTCGTGGCAATGGGGGGATATTTTTGACGTAAAAAAAGAAATGAAATATTTTCTTCAAGGGTTGCAGGTCTTGACAACAAACTGTCCGTTCTTATATACAATCTTACTTGGCAAAACAAATGTGACAAAAATTGTCGATTTGAAGCTAAGATGATTTTGAAAACAAAAGACTGCCATCATTGGTTAAGCTTAACTTGGCTTTTTGAAAACAAACTCGCTTTGTTTTCTGATTGTCCATCAAAAGGGCACTCAATTGGCTTATGAARCGGTAGCTATTGTTTCAAGGCCCCCTCAAACTACCATTCATTTACATGCCGCGTCTAGATCTCTTCAGTCTATTGACATTAATATTCAAAGTTTGGGTTTAAAGGTTCGACAGTATTAAGTCGTCGAAAGCTACTGAAATCTCCCCATTGCTAGAGAGATACGAGTTTTACACTTTSATGTGGAAGAGAAGAAACATTAAATCTTCCGAGCAAGTCGGTGTCTTCAAATAAAARGTAAGCTTATATTTCTACATGGTTTTTTGACATTGTAATAGGGTAAAGATTGATGGCATTGTATAATCTCGCGGTATATTGATCATTTTTCTYGGCGTAAGAAGGTATTTCGCCCGAAATTTATAAAATACTCTTGTTTTTTTTTTCAAATTCAAATATAAATTAAACTWAAGGTATTATTAGAAATCAGACTACAACGTCTAGCGCTCTCCAASCCACATCTTCAGCCTGAGGCATATTTGCTTCCTTCGTTGAAAAACAAAAAAAAAAGAATGTTATATCACACTGTTTCGGAGATACATAGAAGTTATACGATAGCTCCTCTTCTTTTCTAGAGCTTGAATATGCTTTTCTGTGTAAATAAACAATTTCCTGAGAAACAAATTGTGAAAAACAAATAAAACTATAACATCGAAGCACGACAAATTTTCTCTAAACAAGCTATGTCGTATTTTCTTATCAAATTCCTACTTTATCTCGTGGAAAACGCATCAAAAATTACATTATGATAGTTGGTTACTATGGTTGCAGCGATTCTCGGCGTCAAAATAATCCTAGAGAATCTGCGAAAGCTTGCAGATTTGAACTGTCTGGGAAAGATGTGTACACAAGTTATCCATMCGCTTGCAAAGCACCTAATACTCTCAAGCTAACATCAAAACACTCTTGTTGAAAGGTGTTAGGTTCTAGTTCTTTATCATGCGAGAAAAGTACATAAAAATGTCACATTATAATTCCTTATCAGATTAAAACAGTGCATATAAAGGTTCAATTTCACAAAAATTCGTTAAATTTGAATGACAATTTTGGCGCTGTTTACCAGTTTCGCTAGCTACCTCGTTGCGCGTTGCTGAGCGAGCACAAAAGCTGCCTGACAGTTTCTATTCTTGGCGGGAAAGCGCTTGTTTGAATTACTCAATCTTTCGCGGTGACATTGATAATAAAAAGTGATCCCTTTTTATATACATTTTTATATAAATCTTTCGTGCAGTATTTTTTATGCAAAACTTATTCGAGTGTCGCTCGCACGCGCAACAAAAAAAAATATATATACATCGGTTCAGGTAATCTGATTTTATCTTTGATATGACGCGTCTAGTGGTTGAAAACAAAAATACTAGGAAACTGTATGAGAAAAGGTTTTACTAATGATATATGTCCTGAAGGCATATAACAGAACATTATAAGAAAAAACAGTAAAAAAAATAATAATTTTTTGTGGCAGTTGTTTCTATTCCTGACGTTCTAATCAGCTATGCTAGACAACACTTCCCACACGCATCGAATAGATTTTTTTGATAGTTTTTGAATGTTGTTTCCGAGGAATTTAATACCATCATGGATTTATTGACAAAACCAACACAAAGTGCYTGTCAAATTTGAAAATTAATAATCACTTACTCTCTTGAGCTGGTTGTTGAATGTCTTCCAAATTCATGTATGTGTTTTTTTTTCTTTTTGTAAGTAGTATTTACATACAGAAAACTCGCTAAAAATGTTCATAATATCAAGACAAATGACGGGAATATTTTACTCTTTTTGAGCATTTTATTGAGGTTTTCGGTTGGTCATCAACTTTCGGATTTCGTTGTTCTCCATAACCTCGGRAAAACAGAAGTACCAGGGAGAAAAAAACAACAAAGATTTCTCTTTCTCTTCGTCCATGCTAAAAGCACTTGTATTGTTTAGTCTGGAAAGTTGACTTTAAAATATAGTTTTAACAGAAGTACATGATATATGTACTTTTTTTCGTGAAAAGTACATCCCTGTTACACTGCAATTCTTCAAGCAATTTTGACTCAACTGCGTTGCGAGACAAGTTGCTGAGAAAATTGCGTAATAGGACTTGCGTAACAGGACATTTTGATCTCGAAGAATCGATCAATMATGAAAAACAAAACATCCGATGGAAATGGATTAAGAGAAAATCCACTGTCAATCACAAACGATCATTTTGTATAGGTGTGATACCAATCAAAAAATCTGATGATAATTTAATCATTCCAATATAGCTACATAAAATTAATCCTATATTTCGATGTGATGACGATTATTAAATGAAATTAACACCATCACAATATTGCTTTTATATTCAATTTTTTTTAAACGTTTACACGCAGGTAAAAAGTTGATGCACTGAGTTTCGATCAGTGAAACTTTGCTCGTAAAATTGTAATCGCTTTGTATTAGTATAGGATATCGCGCGATCTTGACTACAATTTGGAACTAATAGTCACGAGCAAAGTTTTGAAAGTTCTTCGTAACTGTGCGAGCCCAATTTGAGAACTTTCAGGCATTATGAGTGACTATTTATTACAAATTGAACGAGAGGTTTTACGATTTTTTGTAAAAGTACATTCAGTGGAACAAAATTTTATAAGTAAAAGTATCATTTTGTTAAATGTACTTTAATGCGTTAAAAAGCAGTTCTGAATTAATTTCTTCTTCTTCATCATTCACTGAGTTTTTATATCTGAATGTATAAAAATTGGTATCTTTTGTCCGTGTTTCACCAACAAATCGACACCGACTAAACCACAGGTAGCCCAAGCTCAATAGTTTTGTTTGATGTATTATGGGATATTCGTATACCTTAATTAATTACCTAAAGCAAAAAATAAAATCCCTTGAAACTTGCAAGTGCTACCTTTGTGATACTGCATTTAGTGCTATTCCCAACTATAGATAAGAACACAAAATATAGTAGATTTTATTGTATGGTCAAATTAAAACGACTCCAGTTTAGATTAGAAATATCATATGATGTGTTGCTGACCGATACTGGAAATATTTTGATTTTTATATTCGTCGTTTCGACTGCAATTTTGACCTTTCTTTCTAACTATAACATTCTAACTCTCACTTCAGGGCTACTCAGTTCAGACTATTTTACTACTCAGATTCATTGAATGATCTGTACTTGAACAAAATCATATACTAACTCGTGGTTTGATCGAAAATGATTGTTTGGAGTTAAGCATATTAGCAATAAGATGGATAAGCGAAGACTCTGCAGACTTCGTAGTTTCAGCTCTATGTCGCTCCACATTGCATGCATAAGCCTGTCAGGTCCTGCTGACATATATATAATTTCAAAATAACTTCACAGTTTAAAAGACAATTAATGCGGTTAAGTATGTTGAAATGTGGTTAAGTACAATTGTGAAAATCCGATAAATGAATTGTTTTTAGAAATTGAACAACAATGCCATTGAGCCCGCATTGTATTCAAGCTATGACAAAAACGAGACCTCTCAATGGTCAATGTTCCACCCCACAGTTCTCCATACATTATTAATTCGTTGTGACTATTCTGCCTAYGCTCTCACACTTCACTAGCTCTCTGCGAACACTCCCAGATCAATATAGCGAGCAATTAGTGCGATTTAACACTTCTGAAAACATCCACTTAAGTTTTTTAGCACTAGTTGGTTTGACTTGTTCCTCRGCTTGAGCTTAGCTCTGCGCGGACGCCATCTGAAAGGCTTTTGAAGCGGATTAACAACATTTCTTGCGCAGTAATCTTTTAACAAAGGATTTTACACGCTGAATGGTCGAAAAGAATAGAAAATATCTTGATTCAACGTGGGAAAGGCTCAATATGCATGCTGCAGAGCTTTACAACTATTTCCTACTGRAACAGTAGTGGGAAGCACGAMCTCGGSAAGCTCGTAGTCACTACAGTTCGCCACGAACACYGAAGGGAAGGAATATAATTTAATCGTGGGCAATAATTAACAGGTATTTTGCTCTAATCGGCTAATGTTATTAATATTACATAGGAAAAAGGCATAAACATCTAGAAATTTTGACAGAGAAAGTTGTTCAAGTCGATGGGAATTAAAGTGTGCTATAGTCTTTCATTGTACAATGGCTTGAAATTGCTTKCTGAATTACTTTTTAAGTTATGTGCCTTTCAATTTAGTGTATTGCTTTTTGGTATTCTATTTTAATAATTACTTGACTCAAACTTTGTAGACGACAAAGGAAAATTATTGCCACACTTCAACAAACAGCATAAGTATGGCCATATCAAAAAAACCGCGAAAAGCAWCATGTACAAATGTCCCTAAATCTATTGGTACAAATACATAAAAAGTGCTATAATTGAAACTTAGATATAACCATCTCATAACCGAAAATYCAGCTTTTAAATTCATTWTYGCTGAGCGCATTTTCTCTCGTGTCGATTTTAAGTCGACTGCAGAGATTTCGAAGTTCGCTTTCACATGATCACAAATTAATTAAAACTCAACTCAACGTCACAATCCATCTAAAACGAGGAAAAAAACGAGTACACTAGCTTKGAAAGTTTGCTARCTGGAATTCAACCGTGTTTACTAATAACAACACAGATCATTCGAGATATTCAAAGAAGGAAGAAATAGTTTCGAAAGTTCTTTCGCGAGAAGTTTTCACTGCGCTTGCAAGATATTCTGGAGTATTCAGTGATTAAACATGGTATGCGAGTATCGCTATTTTGAATTTGTAAGTTTCGCAACAAGATTTTTCGCGCTAACATTTCCTTGACAATCGTCTGATCCCTGAAAAGYAATGAATCTAATGAAATCTAAAATATTAATCAAATACAATTTGTACGTGGTAATCTACTTTAAATTAGGCTTTCTTGAAATACAATTGAAGCTTTCTGGAATGTTTACAGTCAGATTGCCAAATGCTCGACAATTTTACGTAATCCCTTTGTTACTACGTGAGGCCGGGTTGCGTAAGGTTAGAATTGTTCTCATATAGCCTCAAGCTTAAACTCTTTACTAATTTTGATTACAAAAGAARGGTTTTTCGRTAGAATGYTGACTTTTAAAGATAGAAATATCTCAACAGCGTAATCAAATAAGGATTTARCCTGGCTTACMCACTCTCCCAACATTMTYACCACAACAGTGTTACAGTTCGTTGGTTAGTRAGACTCGTAAACAAAAATCTTTGACAATGAGTAGTCTTCTTTGTACTCATCCAGTCCGACGGTTCTAGTTGATCATCTTTTGAATATTTGTACATATCTATAATAATTCAACTCATTATGTTTTTAAATAACTTGGTTATAGTCAAAACAGATTGCACCGCTTTCATTAAAAATGCCTGCCAATGCAAATGAAGCTTTTAACAAYCGAGTTGGGCTTGATGCGTCGCTCATTTTGCGAATGAGAGTAGCATCATTATTGTACATTTTCTAACTGTAGATAATCAAGGTGTATAGTACGCTTATTTGGAACTCAAAAGGTTGACAAAAGTGCTTTTTGTGAGATAGATCAATACGGYACAAGAAGGCGTGTCATTTAATTGAAATGTGGTAATAGTGAAGTGTGAAGTGTTCTATTATAATTAATGATCTTTTTTCATTTAGTGAATACCTCAAATGTCAACAACAACATTTGTCTGTGATAATTGCACGCTTTGGCGAATGCTCTAGAAAAAAAAGATAAATAAGATGTTTTTTTATAGAGTATTCCAAGTATTTTCCGCGGCACGTTGTGGGACAACCCTTTGTGCCTGCAGCGACACCAAATGCATTCCTTAAATTGTTTTCCTTTTCTTTGTTAAGTCCATTTAAAGCCCCACATAGTGGAAGAACCCTAGCGCGATTTTTTCACTTACTAAATTCGCCGTCTTTGATTTTGAACCCTCATCAGAAAGTACATTTCAACAACTAGTGATSATTTGTAAAGAAAAAGAAACGATCGCAAAGGTTCGTGGATAACCATGGACCTCCAAAAGCTCCTAATAATCCGTGCTTTCATGTCATCTTTAAGATATGCTCTTTTATTGTCTTTCTTGTAAAAGAAAAAACAAAAACTGTAATGGGACATTAAAGAATGTGCGAGGACTGCATATGAACAATCATGCTTTGCTGTCGTACGAAATGGCGTTGCTACATATTATGAGACGGTCATATTTTAAAAAAAGAGCTTTTTGAGCAAATTGGTCATCTCCAGGACTAGATTTAGAATATCTTTAATATTCAACATTGTTTTGACAAAACTGCCTTCTTGTTGTAGGTAAGCCATGAGCTATTACTCAGGATCAAGCTTAAGCAGCTACAGCGGACTAACGTCCAGTTACAGCAGCTACGGCAGCAGCTCTTCTTACAGACCAAGCAGATCAAGCTACAGTGGTTATTCTTCATCAACCTACGAGCCTTACTCATGGCGGAAAACGTCAGCATCTTACGCCCCAAGAACGTATGATTTTGGAACCTCCAGTTTCTTGTCCAAGTCTTACGGGTCCAGTGACCACTATTCCAGGAAGTATGACGAATATTCCTGGAAGGCAAAGGATTTGTTGACTGACAACCCAGAAAACAAGGAAGTGGATGTCCAGCTCAGGGAATCTACCAAAGAGAAACGTGAATTCACAAGTGTGACCGATTCAGAAGATAAAGAAGAACTGGTAACAGCTGAAGACAACAAGATTGGAGCGAATTCCAGTAAAGATTCAAACAAAGATTACTCGAGGGAAGATTATTCGCGCTACTCAAGGGAGGAAAATAACCGTGACCGTTTGAATGATCTTCTCAAATATGATTACAGTAAGGATAACTCGCGCGACACCGACTCGAAGGCGGAAAACACGCGCGACGATTCAACTGACATTTTCAAACGTTATTACAGCAAAGATTACTCGCTTGACAAAGAGGATAACACAAATGACGATTCAAATGATCTTTTCAAAGGTCTATACAACAAGGATTACTACACCAAGTATCACGGGAGGGAAAAGTTACCCAGAGAATATTCAAAGAAACGCAGTGTTAGTGATAAAATAAATGAAGAAGACGAGAAGAGTACCAAAGGGCTTGACATCAACATGAACTACTCAAACGACAAGGAAAATAATAAAGACGACAGAAAAGATTACCACACTTCCTCACTCAGGGACATGGACAGGAAGAAAACCTCTCTTCCAAAGAAGAAAATATTCGATTTTGAAGACGACGATGTATTCACCGCACCACAATACGAAAGCTCTTTGGAGTCGGGGAAAGGAGTCTTGTTTAACGACGCGAGAAAGCCATTGAATACACCAAAGAACAACAACGACTCAAATCAACGTGAAAAAGATAGAAATTCCTCAGTCAAGCCAAAGCCAGACAACTCAGAAAATCACAGGATTCAAAAACCAAAGAGAAAAAACGGAAATGACGTCAYCGACTCTGCACCACTGCGCATGCACCGACAGGGTGTCGCCAAGTTCATCTCAGCCATTCCGGATCAACAGCGTTATGTTAGCTCAGTGAACTTTCTCCCCGACCGTATAGAGCTTCGCTTCATAGGTGTTCCTCACAAACATAAGGAGATGAAAAGATGTCGTTCCATCACAGATTTGTATGAAATTACTGTCAAGCCAGARCAAGAGGAAAAACACAAGAAACAAATTCATCCATGGGAAGACACGATWCAGTGCGAAAAACAAGACATGTCATATTCGTACGACAGCGAGAATGAAATTCTTTATTACACGAAGCCCAGACAYGAGCACACCAAAGAGATGTACATCTCTCAATACACGCATCATTTTGACCCTGACGAACCTCGGACGCATATCGCTGGATGGAAATGCGATGTCGAGCCGAATGGCATTCCGCATCAGAAATCCCGTATGTGCGTGGTCAGAAGTCCCGTTGTTTCAGAGTCCCGCAGACGCGTCCCGCGACCCAAGTCAGCTCCACCACAACTCTTCGCCCGTCCATTAAGTCCCGAAACCCCGATTCGCTCACAGAAAGTTGACGTTGTCGAACGAGGGTATAGTACTCTTCCTCGCACGAAGGGAAGGCAGGACGATTTCTTCTTTCAAACAAGCATCGACGAGAGCCCCACCGAAGACGTTTCGTCCATTGGTTACGCACCCAGCGACGACACTTCCGACTCKTCAGCCTTTTTCTTYAACGACCCTCGTTTCCATTCCCAAAATCAGTACGACARCCAACACAAWGACCCRGACTTCGGGTTTAACAGGCCGAAGCTGATCMGAATATCAGCCGAATTTCCTGGTATCCGAAATTTGGAAAAGATGAGACGGAAACGTCAAAGTATGGGGTCATATTCGTCGGCAGGCTCTCGGTCATCAGTCGGAGAGTCGCCGTCACCACGGAATGGAGAGTACGGCTTCTTYATTGCGATGACCTCAGGGGATCCACGAAAACCTCAACCCAAACGACAGCATCGCCACTCACATTATTATTAATAGATTCATGTTAATGAGTACCCATCTAAACATACCATGGCCAAGGAACATTGTTGGCTTATTTTTGAGATAACTGAGATGACTCTTTCAAATTGTAAATAAGCGCACAATATTTCTTCTTCTTTATAGAAATGCAAAAAGAATTTTAGGTTTCATTGATATTTAATGCATGCGTTGTTTATTTATTACATCATAGGATAAGAACATTTTCGATTGTGCGRTCGAAAAGAACTATGGGTAGGCAGATTAGGTAGAAAAATACTGAAACTCTTCGACGACAATTTGTTCGGTAATATGCCTTTTCGCGGTTTAAAACAAAGCGGGCAACATGTTTACTGCATCCATCAAATTAAGAAGAGTGCCAAATCATATCAAAACTATGAATTTTTTCACCAACATTCATTGCAAAAAGATAARCAAGCTAACAAATGACAACTTTTTGGGTTGTTGCCAGATTTTGCCTCGTTTTGGTGCAAAAACCACAGGGTCCTTGCGCAACTTGTTTTTGTGACCGCGAAAAGAGTAATTGAGCTGGAAAAAGCTTCAATACAGGTAGACAGAGATAAAACGTGATCTCTGCCGTCAGAGATGAAGTTACAAAAGCTCGTTGAGAGTAAAAACACTTATAAATGATTAATTGTCTTAGGAACCCTAGTTAGGAGTTARAAACCCTATACGATTATCGTGAAACATTGTAATAAACTGGGGCTCCCCTTTGATGGTCACAACGGCGTACGTTGCTGAAAGATACTTTTAAGGCCCTGTGCYATAGTGCAATTTTAGTTTTTTTATCAGCATCGTACAAGGTAATGGTGGTACAAGTCTACGTGCTGCACAATTGTACGCATTGTGACATGAGCTGTCTASAGTACACAGCTCACATACAGTTTAATGGCTCAAAATGTTCAAGGCAAGCTGCCTGAGGAGTGATATGACACTGCGCAATGGCTTTGCAARTTGGTTTTCGCAGCGAAGAAAATGTCGAAACAAAACTTGTATAGTGCGATGTGCAATTCTACAGCCGCTGTTTACGCGCCTTTGCGAAAGCATATTTCATACGTTATCTAAATTAAAATCGTGCGAATATAGCATGACCAATAAGACTATAGAAAGCAAGATTTTGTCGCACAAAAATAATGAATGAAACTAACTGACTTTGGATCGAAAAGGATTATTCATTCTGTAATTGATAAAAGTAACTGAAGAATACATTAAAATTATTCGTCTCACGATTATGAAGTCGTGGGTTGAAGTACTGATGTTCTGACTCCAAACTGTGACTGGTTGTCATGCACGCGATGTCCCATCGTACTCTGTGACTATCATCAGTATTCATGAGAGCTTGATGCGCAGGTTAAGGCCGAMTTAGACGGCAGAACTTTTGCCTACAGCCATCACAGGCAACCTGYGTAAGTCATCTTAACAACATATAGCTACAACTGTCGTAGGGATTTAAAACAATACCTTAATGTTCCCGAGACAGTTCTACTCATGTTGAAGGATGACTTACGTCGCATACGATGGTTGGATGTAGGCAAACGTTGTGTTGTCTAATTCGACCTTTACAATACCGCTTGTTGGAGCTGGGTGATTGAATGCCTTCYATTACTGTTTTTGTGAGCAAAATGGTAAATAAGTGTATGAAATATGTAGATTTTTGTGCCTGAGCTGAAGCTGCCCGGCCTAATCAAATGCCACAGACTAAGTGTGATTTCAGTATTAAATACAGTATTACAGCCAGTGTTTTTGTAGAATTGATTCAGGATGGCGGACTGATAACTTGCAAGGATCTCTAAACTGTTGGATTAGAAATAAATGACAATACCATCATGAGATATTTCATTTTGTCTCGGGATTTTTCACGCAGTTTTAAAATTAAAATCATGTCCTCAAAGTTAATTATTGCGCCTGATTAAATGCTGACGGTTATGTTATTTGCTTTTTACATTCAAATGCTATCAATATTATGGGATGTTTATACCTTTGTCAGCATTTCCCATGCAATTAGCACAACGCATCAAATGCCACACCACAATCCCAACATTCCTTGCAATTTAATCCCAAATGGTACTAAACCAGGATATAGGCAAACTGTCGACAGCTTTTAAAATTACTGCATAAAGAACTACGAAGCTCATCAAATATCTTGAGCACCTTATCCCGACATTCTTTGCAATTAGAACTGGCATACAATTGTTCCAAAAGGCTGATGAGAAAAAGAATCCGTGGCACGCGCGACACTTAATTTCAAAATCTTGGCATTTTACCTAATCGTTTCAAAATGAAAGAGAACTACTAAATGTTTTATTGGAGTTGATTAATCTAGCTTTCTCCAGGTTTTCTCTTCTTACCGCAAGAGAACTTTTGATGAAGTTTGGTTTCGCTTTACGTTTGTAGGATTAGTTCCTTCCTTCTTTTCTGGAGTTCGAAACACCAAAATGTTTGCTCACTAGCGATTTTTGCCGTCAGTTTGATCCTAAGTGAATTATGTTATACAAATATACATCCGCAGGAATAAATAATTCCAAAAGTGGAAACGTGCCATTAAGGCTACTAACTAAACAGGGTATGCATGGTATGCGATGATTTAACCCTGGAACAGGTAGTCGGGGTTTTAAAGCCCCAGCGACACCCCCACCCCGCTCCCCCTCTTCCCCCGAAGGCGGACGCCAGCATTTTCTTCCCGTGAAAGGCATATATTGGTACGTCGTTTTAATTCATAAATAACGTTGAAGACATTATTTTAGATGAATATGACTAACGACAATATACAGGGCAATAMATTGCGCAAGTCGATTCTACTATATAGATACATTATACCTTTTTTTCTCACAATTTAATACACAGTTCAAGTTAACTATATGCACAGTTCTGTGACTTACTGTCGCACAATAACAGCTGTATACTTGAAATCGGAAAAATATTTTGAGCAAGAATTAGACATATTCTATGGATAATTTAATGATTATATGTGATTAATCAGTGAGTCAAATCACCAAGAATTTAGAGAAAAAAACGAGGAATAGCCGAGTTGTTAAACCCTGATTCSAGTTAATTTGACTCACTGCTCAAACACGAGTGCTAGTGACTGGTATACCTTCATATTCYGCATGGATAATCACTGGATAAAAGCAAAGCAAAYGGCGCTTTAATGATCATGTAACTCGTGTCAAATAAGTGATCGGGCCATGAGTGACACGACAATGATTATTCATGAATTTAAGAACTATTTGCCAAGAAAGTATGTAGTCTTTCTATTTGTACCACAGTCTACCTTATTCCTGGTCGAGTTTTTTTGTATTTCGTACTACTGTCTAACTTCTGGTCAATATTATTTTGAGCTTCTGTTCTCATACGTATAATCCTTGAAGTGGTATTCGCTGTGGTRCAAATAAAAAGAACCGATGTATGACTCTTATGCAGAAGTGGTTGCAATGTGAAAAGACCTACGCAAAAGTTCCATGAGTCCTCAAGTGGAGGTCACATGACATCAAGCGTCGGACGTGTCCTCGATTTCAAAATTTTCAGCACTTTTGGTAAATGTCCGTTCATCGTAATTTTCGTCGGACAGGTAATCGTCATCATCATAATCATCRTACGCGGAGCCTCGATCATTCCTAATGCTTGAAGATCTCGAGCTTCTTCCAGATCCGCCATACGTGTAGCTGCGAGTGTCTAATCTTTCGATGTACTTGTTGGGACTTGACGTTTCCGAGAAGACGCGAACATGGGGAGGGTTTTTCAAAATGTCGTGGAGATCTTTGACTTTCAATGAGAAATCTTTGTTTGCTTTTCTGAGGTTCTCAAAGTCACTTTGCAGCTCGACTCTCTTGGCGTCGTAATTGTCGACTTGCTTGTAAAGCTTACGGATCATTTCCTTGATGTCCTGGACGTCACTTCGAAGGGAGTTGAAGTTTGAAGTTCTGAGATCCTCAGTCATCTGAAGGAAATAGAAAGCTTTAGTTTGTATTTATAACTTTGCAATATAAGTGATTGCTGTTCGTTGATGTACGTATTTCTAAAGGAAAAACGACGGAGCTGTCGGTGAACACTACTCTACCTTGAAACAAGACCCTACACAAACTGARTTAACAGAGAAACGTTCTGAACCGTTAAAATTATGCTTTGAATTATTACAAAACACAGGCAATAGTATAATAATACCTGAAAAACCTCTGATGCATAATCTGAGTCAAACTCCATATTAGATTAGACAGAAAGYTAGTGTCAATACTGCAACGAGATTTGAGAGACTCGAGCCGCTATTTAYCGCCAAATTGAGAGGAAATGTTGAGGTAGCCTSCGATTTGCTGCAGGATATAATGTTGATTTATGCGACCATCGACTCATGTAATTGTTGTTATATTCCCTTAAGGRTTCTTCTRAGACAATRAACGCCTTCAAATTCGACCAATTATATTCTTGTTAGTGTTTTTGTTTGCTTTGGTATTATAGGCTTCAACACTGGAGTGGGTGACGGTCAAAGATAACGGTCTCCTAGGAAACCTTTACGGAACCACAGGTAACCCAAGTTAAACCTCGCAAAAAATCTGTCAGATGCTTTTATTACTTGATGAGAGAGACTTTAGTCATATTGTGTAAATTTTTGTTTGTTTATAATATATTGGCGTAGATGCTTGACACTGTTCAATAAGGATAAGTAATGCAAAGAGGTGTCCGTAATGGTTACTTATAAAAAATCTAAAATATTTCAAAAATCTATTTATTGCTATTTGGGCGCATTTTAACACCACTTTTCATGTAGTGTCGACCCCTTTGTATTGACCAACCAGGATCGTAATAGATCGAAAGTTTCACTCAATAAAATAACGATTTATGTCGATATAATATGAATTCATACTTTTTTATTTATTTATTTTTTTTGAAATTTCAACAACATCTACTAATGTGCATATATCGTGTGCATTATGGGTAAATTTCATTGAGAAAGTTCCTAAAAAACCCTCTTTGAAGTCGAATCGCCAAATACTTTAGTTAATATGTCATACGTATACCGATTATGCTTAAAAAATTAGCAGCTATCTGAAAATATCTGACTATATGATTCAACCCATAGCTTGATTTTTAGGATACTTAGGCATTCCTCCCCAAACTCCATTGGACATCGAATCCAGTTTTGGGATTAAGAAAGAAAGCGTTCGCGTCGGACCCAGGCCCGTCTGAAAATAAGGCCTACTCAGGGGGGTGTTGGGATTGATTTGATCAAATAATAAAGAGTTCACCAAAGGTCAGCCCAAGTAAGGCTGTACCCCACGCAATAGTTATTCCTGAAGAACGAAACTAAAACCAATCAGTGCATACGTAGATAGTATATAACTCATTAGATATTTAATATTTGTGGCCAGGATTCTTCAAAAGGGGCTATACACTCAAAGGACGCGCGSGTTTCCGCCTCGATGCCATTAATTAGCGTTGTGGCAAACGTCCCTTACGTCACACTGTTTGTTTAGACTTTRTTTATCCAAATAGAGAGCCGTCAGCAAGTCCAACTATTCATAACAAGAAGAATTAATTGTTGACAAACGGACAAATTATATAAGTCTGTGGGATAAGGTATATATAAACGAATAAAATATGAAATAWGGATGTGTGACAAATCATKTAAAGGATCGGTCATACAATGGGTCACGCAATGTGAACACCACCTAAATATAACATGACATTAATCTATTTGCAAATCATGACTTTTTCTAATTGAACAARTTTTTAGAATTGTTTCGGTTTCTTATGTATATCTGAAGCTATGAATGAGTRTCCTTTGTTGATATAAGGTATTAGAGAGTGTCGGTTTAGCCTTCGGTTATCAAAACTGTGTAAAATTTATTTCATAGCTCTCATACTTTCGAAACAAAAACACAACAAGGAAAAGAGTAAACTTTGGAGTTTATAGTATACACAAATACTTGGAATAAGCTTTCAGCTTGTACGGAAAACGTGCCAAATCGATAAGTATATTTTTTGTTTTTATTCTAAATTGAACTGTTTCCGTAGCGTATGGGTCGTATGCTTGTCGTATGATGCTCGAAAGTTATTAACTCACCACACTACAAATCGATGATGACCTTCGCCGTTTGTACTTTGAAATCGCCATTACAGAAAGCAGCTCCATCGAAGGTGCATGACTTAGGGACATGGTGATTTATGACGCGTCTCAATCTAAACCGGTATTAAATGATTTTGAACGCTTCCACTGAGGAGCTATGAGGCAGAAACTCYGTGGGGCACCTTAGGTGGGACAACGCCGGACCGGGACGTATATGAGGGGCATGGGGTGGAGCAGTTCTGAAACGCAAAAGTGCTGTCGAGTAGTAGTGAGGCTAACTTCCTCATCAACCATGTATTCTTAAAGAATCAGAGAACGAGATTGTTTCCAATTCCCTAGATGATATCGACAAATTTTATTTCCGACATGATATTTGCAACAATCCTACTTTTGCTTTTTTGGGTCCACATATAAATATATTCAATCTAATTTCGTAGGTGAGCTTGGGGGGTCGATTGTAAGTCATGGTTATTAATTTCAAGTTTTTAACCGTACCTTTGTAAAACATTTTGTGAATTTCAAAATCAACCACAGGAAACCCAAAATACCACGCCGACGTTACCAATATCCAGCGGTTTTCAATATAAACAAATAAAACATGGCGGCAAATGTGAACAGTGAAGACACATTGAAACAACTTTACGTCTGCTTTTCGTCGTAAGTTAGCTTAAAGAACTATCAAWAATGTATATAGTTTCCATTTCTTATGTTTTCTCTTGCTTTAAAGACTAAAYGAAGACCTCAAGAAGTGGTATAAAGCTTGTGTTATGCAAAGRTGTGAAGTTGAAAGTGGAGTTCAACGGTGCAGGAAGCTGCTAAAACCATGGTAAAACATAGTTAATATATTAACTATGGTAAAACTTTTTTTTTGTCAAAACTAAAGCGCCTCTAAGTGACAGCAAGAATATTGAGGATATTGTCTATCCTTTTGTCTAGACTTTTTCTCGACTAACATCTGTTTTCAAAAACAGTTGACGTCTTTAAAAAAAATAACTTATTAAACTTTTAATAATTTCTTCAGGGGTTTGGTGAGCCCTTTTGCACTCAAAAAAGATCTCACACATTTTGTACATTTGAACAATCTCTCAATTAGGCCTCAACAGAAAGACAAAAAATTGAATCAAGATTGCAATGACCCACAAATACAGAAAAAACAAGAACAAATTCCTGATAAAAATGAAGGTGAGTGTCAGCTGGTTGCACTGTTCAGATGTCAATCTTTTGCCGCATCTGATTTAACTGGTTGCATGGAGTTCTTAAACAAAATCTATTAAATGTCAATAAATTCAGATTGTGAAATGCTCATGAAGCCTCTCCATAAAACAACTCCAGCAGTTAATGTAGAGTAGACRTGACAAAAGATCCACGTCTAAACTGGGAATAAAACATTCAGGCAAAGCTAAAAAAAAACTAAATAGATAAATAAATGGTTAATTAACAACTATAGAAAAAATAAGCATTAAAAATAAATTCTAGTTTTTGAGTCATTTTTGTGCTGTCTTAATGTTGATGATAATGTTTTTCAGATGAAGAGAAGCCCAATCCAGATCTGGAACTGCTTGACAAAATATTAGAGAAAGCCCAGAAAGCAAGGGAGATTCAAAATAAGGTATTTAATTTTTAGTGGGATTCTTATCCCCAGTGGACCATAAGTCAAAGAAGCAGCTGACGAAAGCATATAAATTGCGATATTTATTGTTAACATGATTTTTCTTTCAGTTAGATTCAGTGAATACTGTAAGTGATGGAAGGAAACTTCACAGAACAAAACAAGCTTTTGCACCAACAGAACAAAGTATGTTATATTATCACATATTATATTTATTGATGACTTTCCATACTCAGGTTCAGTGACCACAAACAAAGCATTGAACCAAGGCATCAAAGAACACTGATCACAGACAGATCTCAGATCTATGATCAGTGTTCTTTGACGCCTCGGCTCAATGCTTTGTTTGTGGTCACTGAACCTGAGTATGGAAAGTTTTATGGAAAGGATTTTGTTTTATGGCTTGGAAGACCTCAATTGTTTGTAGATCGAAAGCAATCTCTACACTTGTTCAGAYTAATTAGTGATTACACCCATTATGTCACTTGTTGATTCATGTATGTTCATAAATGTAGAAAATATTGAAGCAAAAAATGTCCAAAAGTCTGCCTCAAAAACAATCAAACAACCAGAAAAGAAAACCAAAGCAGTTACCATGGCAACAAAGCAGCAAGSAACAGCTCGGCCATCCTCATCAAAACCAGTCGTTAAGCAGCCTGTCCTTCTACGTAAAAACAAAGCAGTTTCAATGAAAACAACCTATGGGGCTACTTATGGTAGGACAGCTACAAGTAGACCAGGATCAGGGGTTAGGACACAAATAGTGAAGAATACTGCACCAGGAA